TGACCAGTTGCTACACAGGTTATATGCTCGAGTCATTAGAGTTTTAATGCTGTTAATTTTGTACACGTATGGGATGTAGCTAAGAAAGTGAAGTCCGAGGCCAGTGAAGGTTGGCTTTCGGTAAATACTTGTATGGAAGGTGCCATTGTTGTGGGTAATTAGCGTGTCCAAAAATGGTAATTGGTTGTTTTTCTGCATCTCACAGGTAAACATGATGCTCGGGTGTTTCGAGTTTAGATAGTTTAGAAAAAGGTTTACGTGTGAGGGGTGTTTAAAAAGAAGAAAGGTATCATCGATGTATCGACGATAATGAATGGGTTTGAATTCAGGCGGGCATTGTTCAAGCCAGTTCTGTTCGTGATAGCAAAGAAATGAATTTGCATAGGAAGGGCCTAATGGGGAACCCATCGCTACACCGTCTGTTTGACTGAATAAACAATCGTCGAATGTAAAGACCGAGTAATGGGCTGCAATCTCTAGTAATTTTTTAAAGTTAGCTTTTGATAGACCAAATTCATTGAGATGTGTACTGTTTAGATTATTAACTATTAAGTCTGTGGTTTCATGAAGAGGAACATTAGTAAACAATGACTCAACATCAAAACTTGCCATGGTAATGGGTTGTTGAAGTTTAAGGGATGTGATTTCGTTTACAAAGGTGGTAGAATTTTCGATCGTGTACTGATTGGTGGTGAGCGGGGATATGATAGGAACCAGAAATTTTGCTGTATTATAGTTGAAAGTACCAATTGAAGAAATAATGGGTCTTAGGGGAATGTTAGGTTTATGGACTTTGGGAAGTCCATAGAGTAGGCCAGGTCTGGAGCCAGAAGTCATAAGAAAATTGTAAGTATTTTCGTTAATGGATGTTTTGATGGTGCGCAGAAGTCTTTTTAACTTATCTTCTAGGTATAATAGGTGAATTGATACCTCAGTAGTGATTCGTTTAAATTTTGATTGGTCACTAAGAATGTTTAAGATCTTTTGTTTGTAGTCACACTTGTTTAAAATGACAATGCCCCGTCCTTTGTCTGGTTTGGTAATTAGTATTGTCTTGTCATTCTTAAGTGACTGTAGAGGGGACATGAGTGTTTCTGAATCACGTGCCTGTTTAATCTGACGTGTGAATTTAGTGAAAGTGGTGTTGGCTATCGTGGTAATATTGTTGGTAACATTGCTAAACTTGTTTTTATAGATATTACAGGTTTTGAGATTATAACACAATTTTTCAAAGTACATATAAAATTTGTGAAAGGTTATTTTGGTAGGGGGCAAACAGTAATCTAGGCCCAGAGATAGTACATTTTTCTGTTCCTCAGTGAGAATTTTGTCGGAGAAATTGAAAATAACTTTATCCTTATTCACTTTCTTTTTAACATCAATACCTAGATTCAAAAGTTTTTTATTATGGATGGTATCAACTTTTTGTAGTTTATTGTCTACATTACTTTTGATTAATCTTGAAATACAAATGAAGTCCAGAGGTGATAGTGCAGTTTTCAACAGAGATACATGGGTATTAAGTTTTTTAGTTGTTACAGTTTCTTTTTTTGTTTGCAAGGATATTTCCCGGTTCAGAAGTACACGACACCAAGAACGATAAGTCTGGGTCTGTGTAAACAAGGGGTTATGAACACGGAAATTGACGAATTTAGGAATTACATCATAATTTTTACAAAGGTTGAGGAAGCGGATATCTTTCTGTAGCTTTTTCAAGCGGTAGGAAAGCTTCTCGGTTCTTCTGAAGGTGTTGAGTGTCGTCCTGCCATATTTGTTTCTGATATATTCTGTGATAGGTTTGCCGCTCAGGTGTCGTATAGTTAGTATGAAGAGGTATACTAACACACTCGTGAAGAATTTCATCTTTATTTAGACGTTTCAAAGGTATAACTAGACCTCCATCATCAGTAAACTGTCAACAAGAACCAAATAAAAAAGTCAGTTAGACAATAATTGATACAAAATTGGGTTCAAAAAACACATTATAAATACGTAAGTGGGAAAGAATAAGTACAAAATATACATAGAAATAATGACACACAAAAATGTAAACAATATATAAATAGAATGATATCATATATACAAATGAAAGAAACTATAATAACCAGAAAAGTAAAGAACTAACCAGAGTGTGTGTTGGTGAGGGGGGGAAGGGCTATTGGGTAAACAAGGTTGTTGCGGTAGTTGTATTGTTTAGCTCGGGTTTCATCTTCTGTATGAGTAAAGATTCCGAGATGATAAGGTCTGGGCGGGAGGAATGGCTAGATAAAATAGTGAAATCTGTGTTGGAGAAAGGGTGTGAGTGGAGATGAGAGTGTTCTCTTATTGCCGAGAAAGATGGTTTGCTCAGCGGAAGGCCAGTCCTGAAGGATTTGCCTTTGTGTTCAAGGATGCGGTGTCGTAACCATCGTGAGGTAGATCCCACGTACCGAGCTTGGCAGCAAGGACAGGTAAATAAGTAAACCACGTTAGAACACAAGTCAGAGTTACATCTCAAAGGTTTTAAAAAATTGGCTATATTGTTAGTGTTAGTGAAGACAAAAGTGAATTTAATTTGGGGGTAATTGTTTAGTAACAGTAATTTTAGTTGCTTCCTGATTTCAAAACTTAAACTGCCCATGTATGGTAGTTTAACGTATTTATGATCTTTTTTAACAGTAGGGGCCATGGGTCGGTTTGAGAATCTTCTACAAAGAAAGGTTTTGGAAATTTTATCAAATAAAAACAATGGGTACCCATTATTTGCAAAGAATTCTTTCAGAAAGTTCATTTCGTCATGAAAGGTTGACCAGTTGCTACACAGGTTATATGCTCGAGTCATTAGAGTTTTAATGCTGTTAATTTTGTACACGTATGGGATGTAGCTAAGAAAGTGAAGTCCGAGGCCAGTGAAGGTTGGCTTTCGGTAAATACTTGTATGGAAGGTGCCATTGTTGTGGGTAATTAGCGTGTCCAAAAATGGTAATTGGTTGTTTTTCTGCATCTCACAGGTAAACATGATGCTCGGGTGTTTCGAGTTTAGATAGTTTAGAAAAAGGTTTACGTGTGAGGGGTGTTTAAAAAGAAGAAAGGTATCATCGATGTATCGACGATAATGAATGGGTTTGAATTCAGGCGGGCATTGTTCAAGCCAGTTCTGTTCGTGATAGCAAAGAAATGAATTTGCATAGGAAGGGCCTAATGGGGAACCCATCGCTACACCGTCTGTTTGACTGAATAAACAATCGTCGAATGTAAAGACCGAGTAATGGGCTGCAATCTCTAGTAATTTTTTAAAGTTAGCTTTTGATAGACCAAATTCATTGAGATGTGTACTGTTTAGATTATTAACTATTAAGTCTGTGGTTTCATGAAGAGGAACATTAGTAAACAATGACTCAACATCAAAACTTGCCATGGTAATGGGTTGTTGAAGTTTAAGGGATGTGATTTCGTTTACAAAGGTGGTAGAATTTTCGATCGTGTACTGATTGGTGGTGAGCGGGGATATGATAGGAACCAGAAATTTTGCTGTATTATAGTTGAAAGTACCAATTGAAGAAATAATGGGTCTTAGGGGAATGTTAGGTTTATGGACTTTGGGAAGTCCATAGAGTAGGCCAGGTCTGGAGCCAGAAGTCATAAGAAAATTGTAAGTATTTTCGTTAATGGATGTTTTGATGGTGCGCAGAAGTCTTTTTAACTTATCTTCTAGGTATAATAGGTGAATTGAAACCTCAGTAGTGATTCGTTTAAATTTTGATTGGTCACTAAGAATGTTTAAGATCTTTTGTTTGTAGTCACACTTGTTTAAAATGACAATGCCCCGTCCTTTGTCTGGTTTGGTAATTAGTATTGTCTTGTCATTCTTAAGTGACTGTAGAGGGGACATGAGTGTTTCTGAATCACGTGCCTGTTTAATCTGACGTGTGAATTTAGTGAAAGTGGTGTTGGCTATCGTGGTAATATTGTTGGTAACATTGCTAAACTTGTTTTTATAGATATTACAGGTTTTGAGATTATAACACAATTTTTCAAAGTACATATAAAATTTGTGAAAGGTTATTTTGGTAGGGGGCAAACAGTAATCTAGGCCCAGAGATAGTACATTTTTCTGTTCCTCAGTGAGAATTTTGTCGGAGAAATTGAAAATAACTTTATCCTTATTCACTTTCTTTTTAACATCAATACCTAGATTCAAAAGTTTTTTATTATGGATGGTATCAACTTTTTGTAGTTTATTGTCTACATTACTTTTGATTAATCTTGAAATACAAATGAAGTCCAGAGGTGATAGTGCAGTTTTCAACAGAGATACATGGGTATTAAGTTTTTTAGTTGTTACAGTTTCTTTTTTTGTTTGCAAGGATATTTCCCGGTTCAGAAGTACACGACACCAGGAACGATAAGTCTGGGTCTGTGTAAACAAGGGGTTATGAACACGGAAATTGACGAATTTAGGAATTACATCATAATTTTTACAAAGGTTGAGGAAGCGGATATCTTTCTGTAGCTTTTTCAAGCGGTAGGAAAGCTTCTCGGTTCTTCTGAAGGTGTTGAGTGTCGTCCTGCCATATTTGTTTCTGATATATTCTGTGATAGGTTTGCCGCTCAGGTGTCGTATAGTTAGTATGAAGAGGTATACTAACACACTCGTGAAGAATTTCATCTTTATTTAGACGTTTCAAAGGTATAACTAGACCTCCATCATCAGTAAACTGTCAACAAGAACCAAATAAAAAAGTCAGTTAGACAATAATTAATACAAAATTGGGTTCAAAAAACACATTATAAATACGTAAGTGGGAAAGAATAAGTACAAAATATACATAGAAATAATGACACACAAAAATGTAAACAATATATAAATAGAATGATATCATATATACAAATGAAAGAAACTATAATAACCAGAAAAGTAAAGAACTAACCAGAGTGTGTGTTGGTGAGGGGGGGAAGGGCTATTGGGTAAACAAGGTTGTTGCGGTAGTTGTATTGTTTAGCTCGGGTTTCATCTTCTGTATGAGTAAAGATTCCGAGATGATAAGGTCTGGGCGGGAGGAATGGCTAGATAAAATAGTGAAATCTGTGTTGGAGAAAGGGTGTGAGTGGAGATGAGAGTGTTCTCTTATTGCCGAGAAAGATGGTTTGCTCAGCGGAAGGCCAGTCCTGAAGGATTTGCCTTTGTGTTCAAGGATGCGGTGTCGTAACCATCGTGAGGTAGATCCCACGTACCGAGCTTGGCAGCAAGGACAGGTAAATAAGTAAACCACGTTAGAACACAAGTCAGAGTTACATCTCAAAGGTTGTTTTAAAAAATTGGCTATATTGTTAGTGTTAGTGAAGACAAAAGTGAATTTAATTTCTAATTACTCGAGCATATAACCTGTGTAGCAACTGGTCTACCTTTCATGACGAAATGAACTTTCTGAAAGAATTCTTTGCAAAGAATGGGTACCCATTGTTTTTATTTGATAAAATTTCCAAAACCTTTCTTTGTAGAAGATTCTCAAACCGACCCATGGCCCCTACGGTTAAAAAAGATCATAAATACGTTAAACTACCATACATGGGTAGTTTAAGTTTTGAAATCAGGAAGCAACTAAAATTACTGTTACTAAACAATTACCCCCAAATTAAATTCACTTTTGTCTTCACTAACACTAACAATATAGCCAATTTTTTAAAACAACCTTTGAGATGTAACTCTGACTTGTGTTCTAACGTGGTTTACTTATTTACCTGTCCTTGCTGCCAAGCTCGGTACGTGGGATCTACCTCACGATGGTTACGACACCGCATCCTTGAACACAAAGGCAAATCCTTCAGGACTGGCCTTCCGCTGAGCAAACCATCTTTCTCGGCAATAAGAGAACACTCTCAACTCCACTCACACCTTTTCTCCAACACAGATTTCACTATTTTATCTAGCCATTCCTCCCGCCCAGACCTTATCATCTCGGAATCTTTACTCATACAGAAGATGAAACCCGAGCTAAACAATACAACTACCGCAACAACCTTGTTTACCCAATAGCCCTTCCCCCCCTCACCAACACACACTCTGGTTAGTTCTTTACTTTTCTGGTTATTATAGTTTCTTTCATTTTGTATATATGATATCATTCTATTTATATATTGTTTACATTTTTGTGTGTCATTATTTCTATGTATATTTTGTACTTATTCTTTCCCACTTACGTATTTATAATGTGTTTTTTGAACCCAATTTTGTATCAATTATTGTCTAACTGACTTTTTTATTTGGTTCTTGTTGACAGTTTACTGATGATGGAGGTCTAGTTATACCTTTGAAACGTCTAAATAAAGATGAAATTCTTCACGAGTGTGTTAGTATACCTCTTCATACTATATATATATATATATATAAATGTATATAATGAAGAGGAATGTGTGCGTTTAATGTGTGAGTTTGTCTCCGGGTGTAGAGATGTTTGTTGGCATGTGTGTGTGCTTGTGAGCGGCGTCTCAACCAAACACAGATGAATAAACAACCTAACATCTCCAAGACAAGTTCTCTTTCCCTCAAGTGTTAGACACACACACGTCCTCTCCCTTCCTCTATTGACTCAACGTCCCGCCCGGTCACCGTCTCCGCGATTACTGTCTGCCGATTCGGGATGATTCCAGATGATATGCGCCTTATCCGTGGGTTACATATGCGAACGGGAGAAGTGAATAGATTGCGATGGTGATCCCGAAACCAAAATTGAATTTAATTATTCTTTGCTGTTGTGAATTACATGGGTTTTGATAGATTGTAGAAAATTTGAAAAAAAAAATGGTGGTAGACAAATGTTATTTTATAATAGCGATAAACATATCTATCATTTTGCTATCGTTGTCAGTGCCATCAATGAGTAACATCGAAAAAACGAAACCAGATATGAAAAAAAAAGACACAAAAATACACATTTAGAAAGAAAGATATTAAAGAAACGGAGAAAATGGAAGGAAATAAAAACATTACCCCCTACACTTTCCCAGCGTCGGATGCCATTACTGGTAAATTGGATGTGCTTGGCTGAACAATCGGTTAGCATAGTTTTCTTGAGATTTTTTTTGGTTTTGTTTTGTTTTTTTTGTTTTTGTTTTTGTTTTAAGGTTGGTGGCGGTGGATATGGTTATAGCGTTTGGTAGTAATCTAACTCAGACATCAAAGTCTACGGTAGTGTTTGTTTGTGTTATTTATGTTCATATTTGTTTTTTAAGCGTTACCGGGTGTTGGGTTCGAATTGTGTATAATGGGTGGTAGGTTGAAGAAGAGAGAGAGAGAGAGAGAGAGAGAGAGAGAGAGAGACAGACAGACAGTCAGACAGAGACACAGAGAGAGACACAGAGAGAGAGAGAGAGAGAGAGAGAGAGAGAGACAGACAGACAGACAGACAGACAGACAGACAGAGACAGAGAGAGAGAAAGATAGAGAGAGAGAGAGAGGAGAGAGAGAGAGAGAAAATAAAAGAAAGAAAGAAAGAAAGAAAGAGAAAGAAACAAACAAAC